AGCGCAAGGGCCTGAGTTCAATCCCCGGTTCCAAAAAAAAAAAAAAAAAAAAAAAAAAAAAAAAAAAAAAAGGGCTGGTGAGATGGCTCAGTGGTCTAAAGCACCTACTTAGAACAAACTAAGCCAAGCAAAGCACAGGGACCGTGGTTCAATCCCCCAGCACCACATGCCAGCCAGCCCCGCCCCCTGGTGGGCTGAGCTGGCCACACACACAAAATAAATAAATAAAATTTTAAAAAAAAGAAAGAAAGAAAAAAAAAAAATAAATAGGGGGCCAGGGAGATAGCTCAATAGAATAAGCGCTTGCCTGGCAAGTGCAAGGGCCTGAGTTTAATCCCTGGTTCTGGAAAAAAAAAAAAGGAAAAAAAATAAATAAATAAAAAGAGCTGTCTCAAAAATAAAAAAGGGATGGTATTCAGTGGCAAACCCAGTGAACCTCAATACCATGAAAACAAAACTATGAACTTCAATAATATTGGATAATTAAATGGGATATGAAAAATTGAAACTTCTGACTATGTAAAAGTAAAACCAGCTATTAAGGTTGACTATGTTTCATTACCACCAGACAACACTTTATGGAATGATCTCAGATCAACTCGAAGTTCCTTACTGTGTGTTAGTGTACATTAGTGACACAGAGTGGTGGTTCTGTGGTGGTTCCACCCTGGTGTACCTCTACACGCACACAATGTACTTTGGCCACGTTGACCCCTACCTTTTCCCTTGTCCCTCTCCTCTTCCAATTCCTTGTTACTGGCAGACTCTGCTTTTGGATTTTGTTGTCTATGAGGAAATGGCTGCAGCGATGGCAAACCTTTAAGAGCTTTTGCCACAGTTACAAACAGTCCAATACAACACGAGTGCCATAGGTTTACCACCACTGAAACAGAGGCTTCAAAGACCAGCTCTTTTGTTAACCAGAACACTGTATGGACATCTTTACCTTCTCAGTGTTGGCATTACCTGCAAGATACATCAAAATCAGGGCTGGCCAAATAGCTCAGCAGATTAAAGCGCTTGCTTAGGCAGATGCAGCGCCTGGCGTGCCGTGCCGGCCCTACCCCCACGACACGCTGAGATGGTCATTGGTGGTGTGCATCTGTAATCCCAGCTCTTGGGAGGCTGATCACAGGGGGATCACTGCGAGTCCAGTCTATGTAGTGAGACCATATAGACCCTGTAAACCCTGTCCAAAAAAAAAAAAAAAAAAAAAAGATATACCAAAATTAAGAGGTCACACTGTACTGTTCTATGTGCATAAGGTGCCATCACCATAGCTTCCAACGATGGTCAGTTGTGCAGTGCTGGTCACCCGCCGCCAGCTGACCACTGCTGGCTCTCCTTGCTCATTTGGGATTCCTCAAGAATCCAGCTTCCCCCCAACATCTAACCCTGGGGAGGCCCTGTAGAAACGAAGATGTAACCAGTTCTTGGGCCCTTGACGGAAGCTACAGCCCCTGGTCAGTGCTTGTGAGCGCTGATGGCTGGGCCCTGCCTCAGTTTACTTCTTCCAGGTACTTGATTCATTTTGCTGATAAATAATAGGCTTTCAGATTGTGCTTTGTATAAGGCTCTGGGTTGGGCTGGGTAGATACAGCATGGCGCTTTGCAAGAATCTCCCACCGGAAGTCCAGATCCAGTGGGGCCCATCACAGCTGAGAAGCCCTGCTTTGAGCTTCAAGCTGTGCTGCCAGGGGATTATGTATCTTGCAGCCTTATGGGAAGGATCACAATTAGTGCTTGGGAGTGGCTGGTACACAGTAAGTGCATTGGAGGTGACAGGTGAGCCACAGGGTCCATCTCTGAGCCCGAACTGTGGTATCAGGAGCTGCGGATGACCAGACATAACACAAAGGTGCTGACAGGGTGGTACCTTTTTCAAAAACTAGCAAGTTTCTTGTTCATGTGGGATGCACGCAGCTGAGCGATCAATGCGCAAGGCCCTCACAGAGTGTTTCAGAAAGCATTTGTGTGGACCCTGATTCACTTTTTTTTTTTCTGATTCATTTTTAAGGTCAGAGAAAGAGAAAACATTCTGAAGTTCAAATACAGATGGGCAAAGATAAAGTGATAGTGTCTGTCACACAAATGAAGTGACAGATAGTGACTGCCTTTAAATGACCACTGAAAATCTGACTGAAAGGTTTACTGCAGTTTAGGTTTTTTTTTTTTTTTTTTTTTTCCTTTGCGGTATGAGGGTTTGAACTCAGGCCCTTGCGCTTGCCAGGCAAGCACTTATACTACTGAGCTAACTCCCTGGCCCCCAGTTCAGGTATTTTTATTTTTATTTTTTGTGGCTGGCTCAGTCTGCCGTTGGAGGGGAGGGGCTGGTGTGGCATGTGGTGCTGGGGATTGAACTGTGGTTCCTGTGCTTGCCTAAGTAGGCACTTTAGTCTGCTGAGCTATCTCACTAGCCCAGTTCAAGTATTTTTTTCCTTTTTTTTTTTGGCGGAACTGGGGACTGAATTTAGGCCCTTGCACTTGCCAGGGAAGCGCTTAGTCTACTGAGCCATTTCCCCGGCCCTCTTTTTTTTCCTTTTTTTTTTCTTTGCGGCAGTTCAAGTATTTATAATGTTTTCCTTATTGATCGTCAAGGTGACTGGTGCTAAAAGTACCAGAGAAAACTGCTTTCATACATAGACTTTGCTGGTGTGAGTGCAGCAGTATTAACATGGAAAACAGGGATTTGTAGGCTGCTACTCTTGTGCTCGGACTTTTCTCGACTCACTAAGAGTGAACTGAATTATCAAACAAGCGTGAGCAATGCCATGTCCCAGGGTTTCCTTTTGCCTGAGTAATGTCACCATGAACAGGTCCTTAACTTCACTAGACACAGACTTTACCAAGTGTGAGGTCACCCCTCTCCATTAGGAAGCATGTTTCAAACATTTTAACTCGCTAGATTAGGCCCAATCGCTACTGGTTTATATGGTTTATAATGGAGCAACTCTTTAAGTTCTTAGTGAGAACAAAAGCAGACGCTGTCTAAGGCAAAACTGCATACAACACAATACATGATCTTCTCAACTGTACAGTGTGGACCTGGGGTCCCATGAGGGAAAACAAAAAAATACCTGTTAGCTTTCCAGGTTTTCCCCATCATAGCATACAAACTGATTCAGGTATTGGTGGGATATATTGGGACACTTTTTTAAAAATTTTGTGCAGGGTCTCACTTTGCATCTTGTACTTGTAATGATCCTATTTTCAGTGTCCCCAGTGCTGGGATTACAGGTGTGTACCAGCACACCTACTTGTGGTTGCTGGCTCAGCACGCCTGGTGCAGTATGTGGTGCCACGGATCAAACCCTGGCCCCTGTGCTTGCCTAAGCAGGCACTTAGTCTGCTGAGTTATTTCGCTGGCCCTGATTTGGACTTTTTTTTTTTTTTTTTTTCTGGCAGAATGGGGGATTGAACTCAGGTCTTTGTACTTGCCAGGCATGCACTTATTCTACTGAGCTGTCTCCCGACCCCTGATTTGGACACTTTTGTAAAGATAAAACTCTCTAAAATAAAACACAACTAGGGCCAAGGAAATGGCTCAGTAGAATAAGTGCTTCCCTGGCAAGCGCAAGGGCCTGAATTCAA